AGATGGTGATGAGCACTGTCGTGGATTGCTCGGTAGGTGCATGGACTCAGCACAAAGTGGTTTGGACAGGTTAATTCTACCACTTTAAGGAAATCGAGCAAGCCTTGAACTACTTGATGAACATTTCGTACCAACAGTTGCCTCGAAGGGTTTTTCCTGTATGGCCCTCTTTCAAGTTGGCCGATCTAGTTCCCATAAGCCAGGAATTATAATTGAAAGATGGGAAAGATAGGACCTATATCGATTTTAGAAGAGAAGGATGCGCTCTTAGGAATGCATCTTCACCAGGGCTCCCTATACCTCCCTGATCTTTGGTGCTGAAGACATTTTTTGAGGAGACGTCCATGAAGGGTTATATCTATGTAGAGGAGAAGGTCCCAATCAGCAAGTTCATCTTTAGGGCTATTTCAGAAGGGAAAAGGGAGTACTTGACTGAGTTTTTGGTTTGGAGGTTCCTTTCATATTATGACCAAGGGGACGCGGGAAGAAACAACCGACGACCGGCTAAATACTGAGTATCACGCAGATCATACTGCTCAATTCGAGGAGTTGAGGAAGGTATGTTCAAAGTTTGGACATCACATTGAGGACCTTAAACCATATTGCTAATGTAATTAAGGTGACAACCTCAGATACGATACACTGGAGCCTCTCCACATAGAAGAGCCTGTTATGGAGGAGGTTGATTTCCTATCAGCCCTTCGTGAGAGGTACACCAACTGTTATGCTTCCTTTAACGGTGCGTAATGCCTCGATGAGGGAAGTAGGTATGGCTCTGTAAAGTTTAAAGTTTTTAATAAGTTTATTATCTTTTTTAATTCAGATTATTAGGGTGTCTAATTTTTTTTTTTAGCGAATAGTAGTGTGACATGTTTAGACCTTGCATCAGTGGCCACTACGACGTACAGTCCCATTTCATAGTGTTAACATATACTAGCTATTTTGGCACTCTCTGGTTGGGAATTTCGCCCTTTTCACTCACTTTTTGTTTTTTCATTTACACTTCAAGCAAATTTCGCAGCATTCATATTTATAAATTAATATTCTAGGGAGGAGTCTTCTATGGCTTTGATAGCCAAGATGTTCATCTGAAATATTCAATGGAAATAGGGTTTATAATTGGTGGATAATATTGCAGAGTTAATATAACATAGGTAGGCGTGAATAACATAAACCCATTACTTTTTCACTTTAGTGCTATAATATTATTTTCAATTATTGTTACTTTGTTATCTTTAAAATGCGTATTAAAACCTTTTGTATTTAGTTTCCCAACCAAAATTAATTCATTTCGAAAGTACGGATTGAAGATTGCATTGATCAAATAATTTTAGTAGTCCAGAAGTATGCGCTTTAATTGTCCAGTTCAGGTATTAATTACATCTTTGTGGTGTTTGATATCAGATAAAGGATCGTGGTCTTTAATTAAATAGGGGTAGTAACAAAAATTGTACACGTAATTAATCGACCGAAGATGTGGGTTTTCACCGTAGCTTAATGATTAGAGCATTGTCGCGCAATCTCAAGGCCGCCAATTCGATCCCGTCCATGCCAACTCGCATTTTTCTGGTCTGGTGTTTACGTCTACATCTTCCCTATAAACAAAAATAATTCTAATAGAGGGCACCCGCATCAACAATTAGCTCATGCCAATTTTCGTGAGCCTGCTTTTTTTTTAGTAGAGGCATGTCCTCGATTTAAGGTAACCATTATACAGTGTAATTATTACTCTTGCAAAAAATGTAAGTTCTTTCATGCCCTCCGCCACTTTTTGGTGGGTGGTAGCTCATTGTAGTAGCTCTGAGCGTAGAGTTTTTGTATATAATTAGCCTTATTTGACGTGTTAATGAAAGAGAATTTATGAATTTTTCTACTCTTAGCCTAGTTTAGCTTGTAGTAGGTCGTTTAGTACTTAACGATAATCGATAGAGCAAGTACGTAACTGTAATATTGTTTCAAAAAAAGTGGTATCATACTTATATTCAGGTTCCACTTTATTTAATAAAGCAATTATTTTGTAAAGATTAGTGAACTCTTTAATATGTGGAGCTAGATGGTCAATAAAGTAATGCTCCTCATCTTGTCTCATATAAAATTCTTAACCATTAAAAAATTATGGAACTGATCCATTTGTGTTTCTCGAAGCAATGCAGAGCTCATTAATTTTGTGCATAAAGGTTACGAGGTAGGGTCTGCCCTGAGCATCTTTAATATTATAAACTGCAAGTTCAGGTACTGTGACTTTAAGTTTTTAGATTTTACTGATAATTTCTGGTTGAAGGTTGCAGTAAATTATTTGAGTTCCTAAGAACTACTTTGACAAACTGAATAGGTAAAACTCTCGATTCCAGTATGATGGTTTTAAGTATTTAACCTGTTACACTTCTCAGTTTTAATATATAGAAATCTTAGACTCACTAACTTTTTCTTATGGAAAAAATAGATCTTGTATTTCAGTGAATCGCTAATGTAATATTAAATATACATTGACAAAGTTGGGAAGTGTTTTTCAGCAAAAGGCCTTGCCACAAAGGTGGAATCGAAAAATTAAGTGATTAAAATTGTTACGAAGAAATGAAAATTAAAATAAAGAAAATAAGAATTTTATGATAAAAATAAATATATATAATAATTAAATATATAATGAAGAGCATATAAAATAACAACCTAAATTGGTGCTGAAAAGTAATAGAATATAACAAGAGGAAGAACAAAAAAGGAACGAGGGTAAAATTATTTAATATAAAAGTTTTGTATTCCTAACTTTTCTATTATTTCGGAACATTTTCGATGTACAGAGAGTTTAGAATGTCCAGGATACTTTTTAACCTTTCATGATGTTAGATATGACAAATATTAATAAATAAACATTTAAATTGTTCATTTTGGGTTATAATATATGCATATTCGGTTTGCTTATGTATCCTACCAAGACTTTAGGAATTTTGTTTTTCTCATAAAGATGAGTTTGTGTTCTCTTAGTTTATCTGTTTATTCCCCGTAAGACCTGTTTTGTGTAGTCTGTTGTTAAATTAAAATGTGACGGAGAAAAGAGGAGGGGCGATCAACTTATTATCCCGTAAAATAAGGTTATTTCTAACTTCAGCAGCAGAAATAAAACAAAACTGTACAGAAGGTAGGACTGACGTAGAAGCAATGGCTATGACAAGTGATACAGTCACGTGGTACGGACATAGTAACATGGAATATATACCACAATATGTATGTATAAAGTTGTATATGGTTGCTTTTAGTGTGACTTCTTTTAGTATAATATTTTTATTTATTTACGTTATATTTAAAAGCAAGTTTTTCAAATTGATTTTAGGATATACCATTACTGTATTAATAATTCCCTGTGTTACTTCCTGGGCCATGTTAATACAATTATTAGCCTTGGAGGAGGGGGAATTATAATACAAGTTCATACTTATTATTACTTGTATTGAAATTAACTTCAAAGATCATATATTTGTTAACGAATTTACTTAAACAATTTCTATACGTCTTAATAAATTGTTTTTCTTAGAGTCATGGACAAGCTAAAATAGTTACGAGGGAGAGAAGTAGGTTAGGGAACAAGGACTAACAAATAAGCCCTTGAAGACAGTAGGATAAGATACCATAATTAGCGCTTTTATTAAAACGAAAGTAGGTAAAAATCCGTTGGTCCAAGAGGAAGTTTCTTCTATGAATATAATTGAGTTAAGGGATTTAGCATAACTATTCGCGCATCTTAGAGTATTTAATCGCTACATTTAGTTTAATCTCGCGAACCATCAAGCTTAGTATGGCAAGGAGCAAAGCTTAGGTACAATTAAATTTGAACTTGTCATCTAATAAGGTACAAGCAACGCAATTACAGCGAACTTAGAGTTTCTAAAGGAGAAGCAGACACCTGTTTTTCTCGCTAATTTTCATTAAAAAATGTTTAGATGTTTAAGGTATATGGCATTATATATTTTAAAAACCTTCGAGCACAACATATGGGTTTATTGTAATTAAATTAATTTTATCTTGCCACTAAATTAAACTAGGTTTTGGCGCAAGCACAAGCCGGTTTATTTAATAATAATTTTTATATTTATATGTGATTTGAAGTTTTGTTGCCGTAGTGTGATCTGGGGGAGTAAAAGTTATTAAAAGAAACAGAAATGGCCTTCGGGTTTATTTACTGATAAAGAAATCCACAAGGGTAAAATTTCGATTATAACATAAAATGCTGAAATTATTTGATAAACTGGTAAGGTTAAGGTTGAAGAAAATAAGAACTAGTTTATAATATTTATTTGGCTTTAATAATTATTTTTATCTTACAACCTGCAAATTTTGTTACATTTCTAATGTATAAAAAAAATAATAAAAGGATTTAAATTTATTATTTTAATTTAGATACAAGTAAATTTAGCCCACCGTCGCACAGCAATGAAAGTTGTAAGGCCAGCTCCTTCTATTTTGAATTTTTTTTTTTATTTTAAAGTAAATTTGTTAAAAAAAAAAGCACACCGGAAGTAAAAGAAAGTTTTCCAGCGGAGCAAATGAGGAATAATGTTTAGTTCTAGCATTCTGAAGTTTTTTTTTGCTAGGCTTTTACTTAGCATTTTTATTTTTTTTAATACCAAAGTGATGCTGGCATCATGAGGTGAAAAGTACAGGGTATTTATAGCTTGTAAATATTCTAACTATAACTGTTTATCTTTGTTAGTGGTGTTGTGTCATAATTGGATTAATAAAAGCTTTATTATTTACTTGCATAATTTTCTTGTATAATATATCGTTTGCAAACTAAGCTATTACATTGAAAAATTATAACTATACAAAATATAACTAGTAAGTATTAGTGTTAACGGGTTAGCTTAGACTTTCGTAAAACATATAACAGAATAATACATTTTTTTAATTATTGAAAGGACGCAAAATTTATTTTGAACTAAAATTATCAGTCTTTTCTAAGCAAAACCGCGCGAAAATTTTTTTTGCGGGCGTCCGTTCCTGTCGTTCTTGTGTTTCACTTTCTTGCTCTCTTTTAGTTTTTACGGACTTTTTTTTTAAAGTATGACCTTATTTTTCGGGAGATCTCTTTTTACTAAGACTAGGTTTTCATTACCTTTCATTATTGTAATCCAGTTTTACTCTAACAGACCAAAAAATTAAAATAAAAAATTCATTTAAGTAGAGTGAAAGCTTTGATATTCTCAAAAGCAGCTTCAAATTTAAAGCTACCCCACTTTCATTATAATGACAACCAAAAGTTTAGTTTCTTTCGAAAAAACAAGGGTTTCTTTTTGTTAGTTGGAGTTTGTTCCTTGGCAACGGGCATCGGATTAAGCGCGGTGAGTAATTACAACCTATTCACCGTTATGTTCAGTATGTGTTTAATCTTAAAAGGTGATACTTGCGAGAGAAGAAAAGGAATTGCGATACAAACATGTAGTCATAGGGGCGGGTAATTTTATTATTTTATAAATTATATTATTTATTAACCTGATTAAAAAGGGGTGGCCGCGCGTGCTTGCGTTAGGGAATTAAATGCTTTAGACGATCAAGAGTTGCCGGAAGGTTACGATGGAAAAGGTAAGTTATTTAAAATTGAAAACCTTTCATTTGTCCCATATTATACAACAAAAAGTCTTAATGGTTGGAGACAACTCCCGGATGAACACAATCGGGTACACCGACCAAGATCGTGAGGATTACTCGGTTGTTATAGAGCGACGTTACGGTTCATATTATTTACTGTGTTTACAGAAATTTCTGGAAGAGCCTTCCAACACTGTGCTGATGGGCCATTATGCCACTAAGCTGGACGTGCAAAAGAAAACTGTGCAACTTCATGAAGGAACTGGTGGAATTTTTTTCCTTTTTGTTATTTCGAAACTAACAATACTTGTGTTTTGTTTTTCTTATTTTATAAGTTGTTTCCTTTGATAAATGCTTCGTTGCTACTGGGGGCGTCTACCCCTCTTTAAAAAATGTGCAACCGTCTGCTGAGTCTCATGTCACCACGTTTCACAGGAAATGTGATTTGGAGCACATTATTGACGTAAACGCACTTATATTAACTACTAATATTGAGACTTCGATGTTGTTTTCCTAGAAATCTCAGAACGGTGAATTTCAGCACGTGGTGGTAGTTGGGGGCGGCTCCTTAGGCACGGAAGTAGCTCTGGAACTTAAAAGAAGAGGAAGCCCAGATTTGAAAGTTTCGCAGATTTATGCTGAACCAGGTTGACTGCAGTGCCCTTTTTTATGCATCTCTTTTTTGCCTCTTCTATACGCATCGAACATAGTATTGATTAATAAATTTAGTTGGCCGTATGCTTTTGAAAATTATTTACTATCCCTTTCGATTTTTTGGGCTACTACAGCTTTGTTTAGCTTTTTTTTTCTAGTAATAATTTGTGCTAAGAAAATTTGCAATCCAGCTGTACCACAGTTTTTGCTATAATACACTTAGGTTTGTAGTATTACCGCACTAGAAAAGCAGCACGTGCTCAAGTTTTTTATTACTTTGCTCTTAGGCGTTATACATCGTAACCTTCCGGACTACTTCCGCGCGTATTGCACGGCGCTGTTGCGTTCTAAAGGTTTTTTTTATCTCCAACTTTCATGGCAACAACGCCAATAACTTTTTAAATATTTTCAGGAATCGACCAACGAAACTTTTCTCTGGTGACCAACGTGGAGACTGACTCTAAAGGGAAGCTGCAGTTGACCATAGACAGCTGGGATCAGTACACCATGGAGGCTGACCACGTGATATTTGCTCCCACGCATATCGATGCTAGAAACGAGCTGGTGCTTCTCTTCCTCCTGCTTGACACTTTCCTCTTTACCACGTGTCACCTGTAACAGGCGGTGGAAGCTGGCCTTGAAATTGATCAGAACAATTCTGGCGTGGTAGTCAACAAAGAGCTTTTGGCCTTTTCCGATGTATACTTCGGCGGCGACGTGGCCAGCTGTCCCTCCAGCATTTTTGGTCTTTCATTATTTTATCAACTGCATATCGGATCGCTATAGGCGGGTTTATATGTCTCGTGGGCCCCCAAGTGACCAATATGTAAAGCTTTTTCTATTGGTTGAACCCCAGTTGTTTAAGCTGCTTCTATGCGTGCGGATTCGTTTACGAGTTGATGTTCCTATATTGTTTACTCTAATAGGAAGGATACGGGTCCAGAACTATAACCATGCACGTGCTACAGGAACACTGGCGGCTCGGAACATGTTGGGTATACCGTTTTACTATAGTGGCTGTTGTTTTTATTCCTTCCCCTCAGCAGTATATCTGTAGTCTTGCACTTTGTAGTTGTAGTTTATTTGTAATAGGAGGGAGAGAAGTATACAATGACATACCCACTTCAGAAGTTTTCTTAACAGAAATTAACATGAAGCACAATTTAGTTGGTAATTCTCTTTCTACGATCAACAGTATGAATAAAGGTATAAGGCGCTGTCCCTGACCAGGTATCGTCGATGCAAAACTCGAAACTGTCGGGCTCTGGGAAGTTAATAAAAATAAGAAAGGAAAAACGGAGGACCAACACTTCTTCACGAGTCGATACAACAAAGTATCCTGTCTTGCTCCTCTCCAATCCGTTGTAAGGCTGGAAAAAAACTTTGCAGGGAGTGGTGTTCTACTTGTCCGAGGGAAAGATTGTTGGGATGCTGCTGACCAATCTTAACGAAAGCTCTCACGTGGAAAAGGCGAGGAACATTATTAGTGGACAAGTGGACTATTCGGATCTCACTCGTCAGGAAATCGAGCTCGAATGCAAAGAGAAGGTTTGGGATTACCTCTCTTCTACGAGTATCTCAGCCATTTACTAGGAACAACCAAAAGTTTAAAGCAGAACTGAACCAACCGTTGGTGCGATCTACTTTCAGCAAAGGAAATCGCGAGAGCAAAAGAGAAACTTCTCACAATCCTTATAAAAATAGACGCCATGCAGAGTAGAGCAAGTGTTATACCATTCTTTAGTTGCTGTAACACTTTTTCCTAGGAAGCCTCTGACCAGACGCCCCAGCGACACGATACGTGACTCAAACACAAACTTGTAAGTGCTTATCAATGTTAGTATATAGTGAAATAAATTATTATCATCAGGTATTGGCGGTCAAGCTAAGGGCTTCCGCCTCCTTTCGAACTCTTTGGCTTTCTATTTAAAAAAATAAAAAAAAAATTCACCGCCGTTTTTGCAAGTCTTTAAGCTCAGTGCGCCTTTATAATAGTTGGAGGGCAATTTACTTTTAAGTTTAACTTTGTATGTATAGCAAGTCACCCTCGTGAAAAAATCAAAGCTTTTAGAAAAGCTATACGTGGTTACTCGTATAAATATACAAAGCAATATGACATTTCCAGAAGTATCACAAAAAAAAGTATAAAGATTATCCTACAAAAATTAGCAGGTATGTTTTACTAGAGGGATGCTTGAATTTTTAAAAAACGTTTAACACGAGATGAAAAGTACGATGCAGTTTAATAGCTCAAACTTGGGACTTTTTATAATCACCGTGCAGATCGCGTAGAGTATAGCTTTCCAAGGACGCACCAGATATACATAAACAGAGTAGCCAAAATAACATAATTACAGAGATTACGACCAAATTTCTTTATAACTACTTTATTTCTATTTACTTCCAATATTACCGAAAACAATAGTTCCTTTATTGAAGATAAAAAGCAAGGAGGTTAGTGCCAATATTCTTTTTTAGCTCCAACCCAAAGCTAAATTAAACGATTTTTAAAGTAAACTTGCCTGGGGAGCTCGCTCGTTAGAATTATGTTTTGCAGAGAATATACTTGACCTTGCAAGTCTTCCACGTAGTTCGAAAGTAGGATTTAGCTTGAACGAATGTAACCATGCACAAGAGAACAATCAAATTAAGAAAATTGTAAATAATAGTATAAGCAGAACTGAACTAAAAATAGGGCAATAAAGGAACTCGACAGTAGAGTGTTAAGATAGATGAGCAGAGGGGACAAAAGGGAACCTCATGGTACACTGGCTGAAAAGAGTACGGCTCAGAGGTTAGAAATTCTTTATTAATTTTTATATCTTGTTTAAAAAAGACTTAATTAATTGTATCATTGCGAAAGAATATTGTAGTCTGACAGGTTTAATATAGTCTATTAAGTTATACGCCCTCAAAAGCTTTCTTAACAACTGAGAAAATAATAAACGTTGCTTTTTCATGAAGTAACGCTTTATTAAAATTGCTCTGGAAGCCCAAATATCTGATGGGTAAACGGAATGACCTTAGAAGCTGAACTGTACAATGTGTATATTATCTCCTTTACATATATCTGTAACCTTTATATAATAAGCGCTTCTGTGATTTTCCGAGACAAGAAAGTAGGCTTACAGGGAATTATTTTTTAATTGTATTAACATTATGATAAAATCAAAGTATTCAGAAGACCTTGCTTGTATATATTAATTATACTTTGTAGGTGTACATTAATAATAGGAGATAATTAAGCATTAGAATAGTTATACCACCTTAACCGCTCGTTCTATTGATAATAAGAATGCTCCACATAAATAATTTTTCACTTTGGTAGGTGTCAGAGTTATCCAGCATCCCCCTTTTACCACTGTAAAAAAGGTGGTTATACCGAAGAAGTTAGGGTGAATTACCCCTAGAAAAAGGCACCGGAGCGACAGCCAGAGTGCTCCGCAAAAAATAATTAAGCAGAGTTTAACATACACCCTTCACTCTCTTTTAGGATCTTTAGCCCAATTAGTGCTTTAGTAAAAGCGAAATACTTGCCATTGGTGTATATTTTCCTGTAATAGTTTCTTCCTTTTTTTTTTCGTATTGTTTTGGTCCAATTAAGTTTGTTGTGAAATCTTACCAAATTGTTTGCTCGCAAAATTTTGTAACAACACACTCGACAGCTTTATCTTTCGGGTAGTGTGATAACTAATTCAGTTAGTAGAAGTTACTTAACCCATGTTAAGCTAAACGGTAGGAGAGCGCGTTGCCTGAGTATTTATCGAAACAACTTTGTCGTCCACTCAAAAATGTTCAATAAGCTCATGTTAAGCCAAATGATTCCATAGAACACAAAGTTTAAAAGCACTACAAAAAAGATTAAAACTTTTATAAAGAGACTATATTAATTTAAAACTTTAATATTCCTAACCAAGTTCTTCCAATTCGGGTCTGCACCAAAACGAAAGAAAAATTTAAAAAAGCCTATTGGATAGTAGAAGGTAAATAAAATTTATATTTTTAGCAAAACAAAACGCGCAATAACGCTTCATCCAATAAATCAAGTTTTATTCGATTTATACTATTAAAGGTTGGTTAAAAGAATTTCCTATAGAAATTAAGGCTGTCAGTCTTCAACCCCATATTTCCTTTAAATTCATGAATACTAAAGATGCTTCACAATATATTAGCGATTTCTAAAATTTTTTTTAGTAGCACAGAATTAGGTTTTACTTAGTTTATACTGTATATTGGTCTTTACACCTGACTTTACTTATTTGATTTTTTCTCAATAGGTATTACAGAACTATTTCAACTACTATATTATACAACTAAAACGAAAGATCCCGTAGTTTTAGTGTTTAAGGCATGGCTCTGCGGTGCAAGCTTGTTTCCTTTTTTTTTAGGGTTCTTCCAAGTTTATGTAATGCGACCTTTAAGTATAAGTTCTGGTAAATACATATACAAAATTCTTTTAACTTCGCCTATTCACCACCAGGTGGGTAACAATTCTCGCTTCCTCCTAGATCGAGTGCTTTTTTCTTCTTTTTTGGGGCTTCTATCTCTTCTGACCTCAAGCTTAATTTCGAGTTCAGTGTTTTCCTTAATATTATATGGGCCACGGTTAAGCTTGAGGGATCAAGACTTCTTGTATTTTAAAATTTTTTTATTAGAAGTTTTATTACCTGGAAATTCACTTAGGAACTTCGTTCAAGACGATTCGGAAAACATATTTAACTTAAATTTTCGTACTACATTTAAATGAGTTTATTGCTAAAAAAAATTTTTAGTAAGTTAACAAAATTACTAGTTATTTTAAACTGTTCAACAAGTGTGCTGGTTTTTTATCTTTTTGGAGGAAGAATTCGGAGTGTTGTTCCAAGTAGCCTTTGCGCCCCGGTAAAAGAAAGCTATATATAATAGACTACAAATAGCGTATAGCCTTTTCTAGTTATATAAAACCCAAGTTTTGAAGTTATATATTATGGTATTAATACACATAAGGGTTCCTTTGGAAAACGATCTTTTTCAGTAAAAGCAACAAAAGGTTTATTACCCCCAAGAAAAAAAACGTTTATAGTTTTTATTGTACTTATTAATGGCCAAAAGGCAGCAGGTATGCAACGAAAATAGAAAGAGAGCTTATCCAGAAATATGGAGAAATACAAGGTTTTTAAAAAATATTAAGTTTGTTCTGCTTATAGATGCGTGGCTTCACAGCTATGAACTTACTAGCTAGAAAAATTGTTTTTAAAAAAACAATGCCTCGAAATGAAATAGTTGTTTCATTTTGAGATCTATTTATTATTATTTTTTTGCAAGTTAGTTCTGCTTTAGGAAAAAGTTATCGTGTACTCAATAAAATCAGCGTTTAAAGAAGTGGTTCACCAAAATCTTTAAACATTAAAAGCTTTAATAAAGCTTTCCATTAAAGTATTACACTAAGGTTAATAACCTTTTGCTTTAAGTACGGCCAAAAAGCAGCTTGCACTGGATATGAAATTTAAAAAATTATCGATTCTAATAACTATCAGGTTATCATAGTTGCGGAAACAAAGCGAAATTTTATGTGGCGGACCACCAGCCTCCGAACTCTAAAGCCCGTTGGTGGGAGGAGCAACGCTTTTATCCGCAATGCAGCCGGTGTTCTCTAATTCAAGTATCCCTTAAAGCTTTTTTGTTTTTAAGTTTTTTATTTATTATCCTCTTGTTTGCGCGAATAACGCCACAAGGGATTTAACCTGGGAAAGCTCGGTCCTTATAAAAACAAAAACATTTTTCAGCGCCTCTGCGCCCGCCTTTTATCTAAAATTACAACCAACGGACAGCACATTGACTACTATCAAAAGATAACGAAGCGGAATATAATCACACACTCTAAAGTGCTTCGATTATACCATATGTGGCTTCCAGTGCCCATCTTATATATATACTTTAAAATGAAGTTTCAGGATATCTCAGATAACTAAACTACCTAATAAAACTGTTTCTTTACAGAATATGAGGCTATTCTACTATATAATTAAAAATTTAATGACCTCCGAATACTTCCACAGTTGTTGTATACCAATGGGAACAAAAAAAAGAATATATATAGAAAAGGTGAGGTGAAAATACATGAAAAAAGTTTCAAATATATATTAAGACGGAAAGGAAATTGTTAGTCCATTTCAAATAAGCGAGTAAAAGCGTCATTGATATATTCAAAATAGTTCCCAGCGCGCTAATATTAGTAACATTTTAAAGTGCTCAACAGAAAAGGCAGTTAAAAACCATTGTCCTCTTATATTTTTCAAAAGCAAGGCGTCCGGTGAGACGCGTCAAGACACAGGCAGAGTAAAGAGTACTTATTTTTCTTCAGATTAACAAAATTATTTTTCTTATTAGTCTATAAAATGGAAGGAACGACAATTTTGGCAACACCAGGAGAATATCCCTTTTACAAAATTATTAAATAACATATTTTCTTACACTCCATCCTTCTTTGTCGAGGAAGCGTGAACGGACCAGTTGAAGAGTGTCGCGGTAATACCACTGAGAATGTCACCCTGTCCCCCGCACCGGCGCAGGCTGCCTTCCTCGTCGCAAGTCAATACTGTATTTTACCAAGTTCGTCAAACATAACTTATTCGTAGATGCTAACTACGAGGTAAAATGTAGTTTCGTTTAAAGGTTTTCGAAACGGAGCGATTTTAGAGTAGAAGAATTTGTCATACTTACGACTTTTGAAATATAAATAATAGGGAAGATCGGGAATTAAAGAACTTAGTTAAGGTAGAAGAAGTAGAGAGAGTGAATAAAAATAAGAACTGTTACCACTCCTTCCGTCAGTAATAATATCCAGGCGATCTTTTCTAACGATATTTACGTGACCTTGTTGCCAAAATAAATTTATTTTAATTACTTAATATAATTGAAAGCCATAATTAGACCTAAATTTTTTTTTCTCACTTTATACGATTTCAATGGTGACTTAAAACAGTTTTTAAAATTTATACTATTTATAAGCCAATTAAATCGCAAGCACGCAAATATTTATATTTTTAATGTGTGGGCGTACGTTTTATAAACAGTTTTACTTTCTGAATCGTATCACCTTGTTATAACGTAGTGTTACCGTTTTTTATAGTAGAAAACTTTAAAAAGTTGTGAACTAATTTGATCAAGCCGTTTCTTTTTAAAATTCTTTTGTATACTTTACAAAAAGTTTTACAGGTTTAAACCACATAATGTCACTTTCCTAAAATTAGCGCAAGTTGTGAAATAGAATAGACTTTTTTTAAATAAGCTTGCAAACGATATACATGACTTTAGCGGCTTTGAACTGAAATTGTAAACTTTATTGTTTAATCTTTTTGAAATCTTTAAAGGTAAAAGCAGATATTTGAACGATAAAAACACTTTTTCTAAAGAAAAGAACTAAAAAAAGAAAAGCGGTAAAAGTGCCACTATAAATTTTGTGTTCTGCCCCTTTCCTTAATCTTACTACACATAATATAAATGAAACGTAGAGAGTCTGGCAGAATCTTACCAAGTTTCTTTGAGAGACGAAGCATTTGTTCTTTCAAGCCTTCCAAGTTACCAATATCTAACGCATCTTCACTCAACTAATTCACGTAATTAAACGGAAAGAATTTTAAAGCTGCAAACTTTAGGTAAATACTGCACTAACAATAGCCTTGCAAAGTCTACTGTACTCAGGAACATTAGGAGTAATAACAACTTTTTCGTAACCTCTTATTAAATCGTACTTTTGAGTGACAAGATGACATCCGTCCTATTCAGTCGCATTATAATGAATTTGTAAAAATAAACAAACAAATAGCACAAGCTACTTGAGATTTGCAAAAAATTATAATACCTTACCTTGAATTTATTAATAAATGCCTCATATATAAAAAATTGAAATATTATAAACTAACCGCATCCACGACAATGGACACATCGTTTTGTCGCGCAATTTTGCATATGCGGCAAGCATAATCAAGAATAATGGGATCTCTACCAAGTCCAGGCCCAACTTATATATATATAAGTTGTAGCACTTTAACCTTTTTTTAAAAAAAAAGTAATCAAATCAATGCCGATAATAGCGTGGATCTTCGACAGCATTTGGCTTATTTCCGAAACGTCGGATTGGATCACACTCTCTAGCTTATTTTTATCAAGTTCATAGTCGAAATCCCTATTAAAATAATACTAAAATAATATTAATAGTATTAAATCTTACTTCGATTCTTTTAAAAGCGGTGCTATTATTAAATCAGCTCCATATGACTGCGTAGAAAATTATAATAAAAGTGGTGAATAAAAAGGGAGTTAGAAGAAATTGTGATCAATAGTTCACCTCACGTTAAATAGGAGATACCTTTAGGGGAACAGAAGCTCCTTTGGTGCAAAAGACAAAACATAAATCTGCGCCCTATTTTAAAAATTTTTAATAACGTAAATTTATTTTAGTAGCTTTTTAGAGTCTAACCATTAAAAGTGAGGAAGTAGCACAAAAATAAGGAGCTCCACTGTATAGAAAACTACCACCAACTACTCCGATTCTGCCTTATAATAACAAAAAAAAATGATCTCCCGTATAACCAAAATTAACTACAACTAATTTACAAAGTTGAGGACTAGTCTAACTAGTTTATGCTTAGACAATAAAATCTCACAACCTGCCTGTCCTTTATGCAGTTTTTGGCTAAGTTTTGGGATTACTTCTTTAGCTAATTGAATGGCATTTCCTTCAAAAGGCATCGCGCACAATGCTTTAAAGCTTTTTCTAATAATCGCTTCTTTCTTACAGTTCAGCAAAAATATAATCGTCTTAGGAAAGTGACCCCAAATTGTAGGGAAGAATGAGGGCTAAACCGTCATTTCTAAGCACAAAGAATGCATGCATACAGCTTTTGCTCTCTTCCTCGTCTTAAAAAACTATCTTACTTTTTGTCTTCATTTTAATAATCTTTTAAAGGCATTGAAGAATATAAATGTCTACAAGTACGCCTCTTAGAAGAAGTGAACGTTTGAAACTGTATTAATTACTATTTTATGTACCCTTTTGATATTTATATGGGAATAACATTTTTTTATTATTATTTGTGTAAAGGGGCAACAATTTAGCTGCTAATCTAATAGAAAATCGTGAAAATTCTCGACTGTCGAGACAGCTAAAGTCGCATTTTTCTCTATCTCGTGCACAACCATATGACTATGATGATTTTTCTCGTCAACATCATCTTCGTGAGTTGTCTCGAAATGCACCTTTACTTTCTCCTATTGGTGGTAAAATTCAGGTCACTCTCTTTTGTTTTCAATATTTATAGTAAATATAAGTTAATTTATCTTTTTTTCTTCTACTGTAATAGGAAACATTGAATCTTGGAGGCCTTAACAGTTACCTGGATGTGAATATTATTATATTTATCTTCAACACATATATATTATATTAGTTATCTAGCAATTCGCACTTGTGATTTTTCGACTTTATCAATTTATTCATTTTCAACTTACTAATTAAAACTAATTTTTATTTCATTATTTCTTTATAACACATTTTTATATATCGTATTTTTTGGAAACTGTTTCTTTCCCTCGCGTTAACGTTATTACTGTGTGTGCCATTTTTCCTTGTAATTCGAAATTTATGAACTTTTTCTTAATACTTACACTGCTTATCTAATTTATAACACTTGAATAATTTGGTTCTTTATATAGAAGATCTGGATTTTGAAACACCAGCGCCCATAAAAAAAAGCTCCGCGTCTACCCGCCTTCTCTTTTTTAAGCACCGAGCAGATCTCCGAGATCCTATAAATGGTGGACTTTAGCAAACCTTATCAATACAAATCTTCAACCATCATATATTAGCACTGTGTTCAGTTCAAGTGTAGCATCTCTAGTTATTTTCTTATTTCCAGATATGTTTTTAAATTTGAAGTGTTTACTAATTTTATGAGTTTCTTGCAATTATTTTATGTAAATTACTTTTCTTTTTGCTGTTATAGTTTATTACTCTTCAACTTTTATAATTTAAAGGCTTAACTTTTTCATATAAAGCTGGTAACTTTCTTTAGTTATTATTTTAAATATTTTTATATTGCTAAGTATATTATTTGAATAATTCTTTACTTTTAGTTATGTTTGTTTTATAGTTAACTACTATTTTTCCATGGCTATTACTTCTCAGTTTACTTGTTATACTCGTTTATTGTATAAAAGGAGTTGATCGGAGAATTTACATGTACGACGTTTGCCAGTCAGGCCAAAGATCTTTCAAGTATTCTTTTTGGAATAAAATTTCCGGTTAATAGTATTATACGTTTTTAAAGTTATTTATTTAATATTTTAAAAAAGAATTTAGAGAACTATCAACTTTTTTAATTATTTATATGCAAAAACTCTTTTTTTTGTACAAGTAAAGCTTATTGCAGTTTTTTAATTAATTATTGGTTGTTATACAGCCATTAAGTTATTCAGAAAATTGGGGACTTTTTGCGCCCTTTTTTATAGTTGCATTCTTTTTTTGGATCTTCAACTTTTTTCTTACTTCAACTCGAGGTTTTCTTTATCCTATTAATATAGTAAAATTGCGTAACTTTTTTATCGGAAGAATACATATGGGACGCCAATATAAGTCCACCAAGAGAGTTATCAAGAGAGACAAACTGCGTGTAGTAAATTATTTATTTTTCCCATATAGTAAATTTTCATTTTAATTCCGCTTAGCGGTTTTGTTTCTTACTGGAATTTTTCTTCTCCTTATTTATACTTTACGCACTTGCTGGAATGCCCCCGCTCCTAAAATTGGTGTCAACTCCACCACTACCGCCAATAACGAATCAGAAGACTCCTCTGGGGCGATTGGTGGGTTTGAATTTTCACGGAGTGATAAAAATGTAAATTTTTGCCACTTGGAGTTTTTGTTATATTTTTAGTGAAAATGCTCAACCAATAGCTTTTAATCGATTTTATTATTACAAGTATACTAAAGTTTATTTACCTTTTTTCTTGTATTATTATGTGAAAGCTGACTGCGTTATAAAATATCTTTTTAATGTTGGTTTACTTTCTTTTAGCTGGAAACACTTAAAAATTTAGTATTCAACATTAAAAGCGCCCTGAAAGAGTACCTTTATGTTGCCTTTCCTTTTATTCACTATTTATATTATCTATAAATAACATAGAAACTTTGGCTCCTGTAATAACTATTATTACATTTTTCTTATAATTTTGTACAGCCAGCAATACCATATACACGAATAGTTAGCAGTTTTATACAAGGCAGCTACCATAATTGTAGTAAAGCACACAAGTGCTTATTATTATAATTAGAAAAGGGATATGCTATTATAAAATTTATAGTGGAGATTGCACTAGTGCGTAAGTTGATTGGGTTTTCTCCTACGTTTTCGTTGGGACAGAAAGCCATCCTCATTTTTGTTTTTATACTTGTTATTAGTTAACTACACGATCCTTTTTCCTGCTGCGCTTATTTGAAATGTCATACCTGTCCTTTAACTAATATTATTATAATTTCTTCTACTATTACATAGCCTTCTCATTCTATCTACCCTGTAGGCTTCAAAGCCGTTTTCCCGAAGAACTCGATACGAAAAGACTCTCAAGTAGTGTCCAGACATTAGAAAAAGTAGCCTTTAAATTAATGTTTTTCTTTAAATAGTAATATGAATAAACAAATATGCACATCTCCAAGATTTTATATTACATTGCATTTTTACTATCGCTTAGAATATGGCTGAGCTTAAAAGTAAACAATTCACCTTCTCTTCTAAACTTGTGAGCTGTTTATGAATTGATTTTCAATACCATAGCAATAACTTTTTTTAAGGAATATATTGATAAGGCACTTTCCTTGCTAAGCTCGGCAGTTTCCTCAAAGAAAGACGCGAATGAAACTTTTTTTAGTCGCGTGGAAGACCAAATAAAGGAACTTTCTAAGGTGCTTTTCTCGCCTTCGCTTCAACTGATTACTTTAAGTTTAGCACGTGGCCTTTATAAATAATATTAAATTGATGCGATTTTAGTAATTGTATCCAGTTAACTATTTTAATGGCGCTATTGAGTGCGACTAATATTTTTTAAGGAGCTCTCCGTATTGAAAAGCCACTGGCCCGGGCCTGCTGACGAAAAGGTTTTTTTATATACTTTCTTAAGATTTTGCATATCATAACTTTCTTCCGTTTCACTTTGCAGTGGTTATATATATTTGCAAAATTCTATTATTATGTTAAATAAAAAACAGCTTATATTTTTGAGTAATTATAATAAACGAAGTTTGTGGAGCTGAATAAAAAAGTAGCACACTTGGAACGTTTACTTAAAAATTATGAAAAGTCCAGCTCAGAAGAACATACTGGTAGAATCAATACTATATATAATAATATTATTTACAGGTTGTGCATAATTTATAGTAACACATAATGAAGAGAATAAGTTATAGAAGATAATAATTTATGTATAGACTTTAAGTTTGTCCTATAAGAAAGACTCTAATAGGCGAAGTGAGCTGTTGCGTATTCCTCTTGTTAGCATAACAGGCTTCATTTATTCTTACATTTAAATTCACCAGCCTTTGAAATGAAGATCGACAGTTTACTTGCTCTTGTGGAAAACGTAAGTCGGTTGTTGAGAACTTTATTGATTCCTGCTTTATGTAATTGTTGACTGGAAAGTTTCCTAAAGTTTTGCACAATTATTACATACTTTATTGTATTACAAAAAGTACATCAAAAAACAAACTTTTATTCTCTGCAACTAGCAAAGGGCGTTTGAGCAGTCGCTGAGCGAGTTTAAGAAAGAGGTTGCTGCTCTCTTTGCTGCCCAGCTGACTGTAAATAAGCTCTTTGCCTTGCAAAAGTAATCTATCATTAACTTCCCTGTATTTCTCATATAAAGGATCTGGAGTTACTAAAAAAGCAGGTTAGTAGTTTCAAAGATGCTCTAATTCCAGGTTGACAGTTTTTTTTATTAATACCATTTACTTTATAACTATATATATTAAAATAATATTAGAAGCTTCGATAAAAAGCCTTGTAGATCAACTCTATTCGAGGTATAAGTTTGGCGGGGCATTTTAGTGTTCATAAATTTTTCGAATATTTGAAAGGAAAATGAAGGAGTTCAGCCAAGCAAAAGTCGGGATGACCGACTACGCTTCTGCCTCGGCAGGCGCCAAGATCGTCCCTCGGCTCACTACATCGTAGCTTCATTGGCTATTTCCTTTCTAGTTAATTGGTTTTAATGACATTGACATTCTGGAGGACGCGTGAAGGCTTTTGGCTACTGAAATCGCTTTTCCCTTCGGTATTGCGAAGGAGCGAATCGTGGGACGTTGTGCTCAAAGTTCCTTTACACATTAACAAAAAGCCTTATCTTCATAATTGTAATGCCTCCAGTCTGACATGGAGCCCGGGCATTGCTACGCTCTCCCCGGCCAGGGAGGAAGCATCGGCATCGAGCTCTCAGAGCCAATAATAATTAGCCATTTCACCGTAGAACATCTCCCTTTTGCCCTTACTCGGGCGCCATCTGCCCCCCGTGCCATGGCCCTCTGGGTTGTTTGTAAGCGCCGGTAGCGTCATGGGTTACCGCTTATTGTTCTCGTTTAATTCAAAGGGAGTGAGAAGTTCTGGTGAGCATACAAATCTCGGAACGTTTGAATATATTTTTTCAGCAAACTCTGAATCGTCTCAAACTTTCGAGTTAAAGGTTCTCGCCTTGAACAATTCCTTCTTTTCACGTTTTTTTATTAAAAATACGATTGTTATAGGAAAAGCACGGCCCATTCCGCATTGTAAGACTTGAAGTTCTAAGTAATTATGGGATGGTTCAGTACACGTGCGTATATCGCGTCAGGGTTCATGGGGAGTACGCTTTATAACGTTCATATGATTATTGGTAATAATATCTTTTAACCGCGAAGACCCATTCGTAAGGAAAGCAACACGAGCGCTAAAAATTCATTGAAAAAAATTTTTGTGAACTTCATAAAAACTTTGGGATGGACTTAAGCGGACATTTAACTTACTATAATTGGTGTCGCCTGTTACAATTTAGTTACTATACTGTCGAACTTAATATTATAGTTTGTAACTATTTATATAATTAAATTAACTTAGTTTCTTCATTTTTTATTACTCCACGTATTTGTACGAACTTTAAGTGTGCTCTTCACTCTGCGAATTTCCCCGCGTGGCCCGATCAGTGCATAGAAGAGTATTTTTCAAAAGCATAGCAACCGTCTAGTGTGCCTTAAGCAAAATAAACTATTATTAATAAAAAAAAAAAGGGGGAACGATGACCACCGGTCCAATCCCTCCGGGGACGGGCGTGATGGCAGAGGCCACTTCTTTTGCCTTGGAAAACTCCACATCCCCCACAATTCCGCGTCCCGACTTTTTGTTGGTGTCTACCAAGCACGACAGGAGATACTTTTATGATAACGATAGCGGCAAAATGAACACGAGACCGGTCACAATGTTGACTCCCACATCCATGACAACCGCCCCTTTTTTCAGCCACTCAGCTTTGATGTATTCCGGCTTTCCCATGGCAGCTACTAAAATATCCGCTTGTTTGACCTTCAAAGGATGTAAAACATAAACACTTCCAAAAAATGCGAATGTGTGAGAAAAAAACTATAATCACGACATTCAATATTTATTATGAAAAACTTTACAAACTCCGGAAGATAGGCAGTCTTTGAATGGCATAGCGTCACCGTTGCATTCATTTTTTCAAGTAAACTCGCCAGTGGGCGCCCCTAACAAAAATAAAACAATAATAAATAATCCACATAATGGATACTAATGTATACCACAATATTGCTTCGGCCCACGACGACCACGTGTTTATAACTGACATCTATTTCTAATAAAGAAAAATAGAATTAAGAGGCTGCCACTTTTTCTGGTATATAAATAGAAGCACTATTAAAGTGCTCTTAAAAATATTAACATGGTTTAATTGTACTACTGCGCACCATAACGCCGAAGAAGTTCAACGCACGCAGCAGGCGCGCATGGAATTACCGATGCCGCAAGGTCTCCACTGCTAAGCAATCCAACATTCATCGGATGAAGACTAAAAGAATTATTTTTATATCTAAGTTGTCGAGAAAATCAGTATATTTTAAATAAAAATCCTTCATTAGGATTGTAAACCCGAATATTAGGCAAACCAGCTAAAAGGTGCAAATTTTAGTGTTTATCTTTAAAAATATTATTGACTTTCTCGTTGCAAAGTCATATTGAGATGGAAAGCAGTAACATCGTTTATTTTTAAATTTGCTTAACGTAAACCTAAGGCAATAGCGACGTTCTTATTGTTTTCGCAAAAAAACTTTTTCAGTCGAAAAAAATATCAGTAGTAAGCCAATATATATCGTTAAAATATGTTATATTTCTTGGCTCTTAATAAGCAAATCATTGGCAATAAAATATTAAAAAACCCGTCGACGTCCTTAATAATGGAAAGAGAACGGAAAATTATATTAGTATTCAAGTGCTCAGGTAGGGGCAGTTGTACTAATATAGCATGAATCTGATCTAACAAACATATTAACTTAGTAGATATTGCAATAAGAAAAAACAGAAAAACTACTAAATAATAAATACTGATAGTTAGTTAAATGGTATGCTAAAAAATATGAATAAAGATAGAATAGTACAAAATAACAAAAGTTTACAAAAGTTTACAAAGTTTCACGTGTAAATGTAATAAATATTATAAACGTTAAGCTAAGTGGTTCTATATAAAAGGCTTCCATAACCTTAATAAAGAAAACTATATAATAAAAGAAAAAAAAATTGCTATTTTCGTAGTCAAAGCGTAAACTTAAAATATATAATTATATTTTCAATAATTTGCAAGCAACGGCGAACGTTTACGTTATTTAATTGTTAAGAAAATGAGTACTACAAACCGTCTTCATTTAAAATACGTATTCTACGTATAATTTCTTGTAAAGTAACATCCTCACTTAATTGAATATGCCTTAATAAAATCCCCACCTAAGGGTTATTGATAACTAGAAGGTGAAATGATAAAAATAAATAAACCTTTTTCAAAGCTTCTTGCTTATTTTTAATATATATATTGGAATCCTCTCTCAATCCAACCTATAATAAATGAGACGCGGTCACCATAAGCTTAAGAACTTAACCTGAACTACTGCTAGGCGAGGAATAATGTTTTTCCTGCTGAGTAAGTGCCTACAAGAAGCAGCCACCTCCGCTTTGATAATTCTGAAGCTAATTAGATTTCTCAAGGAAGTTAAAATACAAATAAATAGTACGAAGATATTTGTGTGCCCCACAAAATTTTACATGTTGTGAAGGACATGCCCTTTTAATCATACAGATATAAACGGTTATTCTATGAAGTAACAGATTATAAAAAATATAAAGGGAACAAACCCAGCAGGTGCAATAATAACAAGCTCTGGGGGTTTGACCTTATGGACTTCAATGTTCGTTAGTTGTACAGAATGACACATTACAAAACATGGTTCATTTCGGATAAACCTTGATAAAATGCAGTTTAACTAATTTAGCGAAGTAGAGAAGATTATCCGGTGAACAATCTTCACTATTACTTTCAGGTAAGTATTATGGGCCTATTATCGACATGTTTAACTTCAACGCTCATTTATACCACGACCTTAATAGTTTTGAAGCGTAAGGGGTGAGTCAATTTAAGTGAACTTAAGACTTAACATATATATGCGACTTTTAATTAAATTTACTTTTACGAAAGCCACTTTGCAATTATACTAGCAAAACTTTTAACCGCACCGGGATTTTAAGTTTAAATCTACTGCGAAACTGGTTTGAAATATTGCCGATGGCGCTTCAACTATATACCGTCTACCATAAAATCTACAAATTCTGGTTCTACACTGTGTATATGGTTTGAGCACCACCACTCGGTATTCTTTTATAATAGTAGTTATAATAAAACTAAATATAAATATGTAATAACGATAGTAATAGTAATAGTCAGTAATAATAATAAAAAATTATACTTTTATAGTTTATTATTATTTTGGTAATATCTAAAACAACTGCGATAAATATTTGCTTCATCAGGATCAGGCTTTAAACTCTATAATCAAAAGTTACTCTCCCCTCTTCCAAGATTCTACTTTCTGACATTTTACTACAAAGGAAAGAAGGAGAATAGTAAATCTTAAACCAACTGGCGCATTCTCTATTTTTATTAAACCAAAAGCTTTATCGTAAGTAATCTAGAAAATATTATCTTTTATTATTGCTATTTAAACGGTTTTGCCGAGAGTATAATCTATAAGTAGAGCTTGGAAATCAGGGAACTGTCCTTCAACTGTTTGTCGTTAACTAAAATCTTCGACTTATAGAATCAAGGTTTTTTTTTTTAAAAAAAACGCAAATTTAGAATTATTTGATAACCCTAGTTTTTTCTGGCTGAAGCAGTGTGCGAGCTCTCTGAAATTTGATAATATATTGATAAGTCCACAAAGTGAATTGGCATACTATGACTTGCCCTTAATAAGATACTTTTCGAAATACCAATAATAAAAAAGAGCGGGGAAATATCGACTGCTCCTTCCCCACCAATAGGGCCCCTGTGTGGCGAAAAGCCCTCTAAAGATTGACCAGCCAGCTCTTTTTAAACTTCTCCCGTCCAATGAACCAACACAATATCCAAAATATCTTATTTACTTTTATTAAACTCAAAATCCATTTACAAAAGTACGAGTGTGAGTAGCAACAGAGTCGGTTAAAGCAAAGTTCTAAAGAGGTTTATTTACAAAAAAATTTTCAAAGTCAGCCTCTTCAAACAAAATAAATTATAAAAAAATAGTAAAATGAAAGAACACTATAAAAATACCAGAAATTTTTTTCTTTTTTAATTTTTTCATAAGTTTTGTGTCTCTCTCAAGTTCCTCGAGATCGACTTCATCCGTCTTCTGACAACTCAATTTTTCCTAAACAAAAGTATATAATACATAAGAATTTAAAAAAATTAATAAGTTGTGATGGAACTTTCTCACGATAAGCCCTTTTGGCGGCCTTTGACTGTTTGCGTTTCATTTTTAAAGCTTTTTTATCCTAGAGATAATAATAGTTACAAAATAGTTAGTGTGGTTTTCCTTGCCTTTACTTATATTTTTAGCATCAAAAATTTATATAATGTAATAAAACACAGAAGCTACTTTTCGTAAAGACCAAGAATTTGCCCTCCGAAATTTTTTATTGTAAGTAGTACTTTTCAAGGTGGCCCTTCCTATATTTTTCAAACGGGCTGCTTCTCTTTGCTTGTTGGCGTATGGAATAGACTTTAAATCCACTGACTGGTTAATACTAAGATGAACATTCTTAAACTCCGGCATTTTGGGAACGGATATCACACCAAATTCTTCGCAAAGCGCGCTTAAGCTCAAATGCTATAACATAATTTTATTACTGAAAGTTTATAAATAGCCACAAAATTATAGAATGGAACTCATTTAAATGCTATATTAACCAATAAACTAATATATAGAAGTACCTATACCTTCATATGGAATATTAAGGAGCAAAGATGCTCCTTGTAAGAGCGAACAAAACTAACGATTGCTCTATTGCCTTTTTCAATAATGTTCCGATCTTTCATAGCGAGTTCTAAAATAAGCGTAGCAAGTAAATAATATTACACACAACAAGTACAATTATGTTAAATCAATTAACACAAGATCGGTCAATTTTATATAAAGTAAACAGGAAAAAAGTACGTCTTATATCTTCGCTTAATCTACTATAATTATATGTAGCGCAATCTTCTTTAAACTCACTAAGCGGTATCTTTCATTATAAAAAAAGTAAAAAAATATATTAAAAATAATTAACTATAAACTGAAGTTTATTTATATGCTAAAGTATTAATATAACAAATGGTTTAATAAAATTATAAAAACGAGGGGCATTGGCTACACAACTTTTAACAATTAAAGTTTCATAATCAACAAACCTTTCTGTTCCGCAAAAATTCGACGTAGGCATCTTCTTCCTCCGTTAAATAAATCAATGCGCATCCTTGGCGACCTTGCCGTGCAGTCCGTCCGCAGCGATGGACTTTCAGCCAATAAAATGATAAAACGATGAAATTTATCCAGCGTATATACCGAAGACGGACGGGTCTTGTGGCGGATCAAATTGCACAACCCAATCGACATCCGGTAAATCTATACCCCTAACATATTCCCAAAATATAATAGTATAAATAGGTAATGACTATTAATAGTATGACAATACCTCGCAATGACGTCCGTGCAAAATAAAGCGCCGTTAATATTTTCTTTGAAGGAGTTAAAGGTTCCTATTATATTATCACTCTTAAACAAAAACCTCAAAAGAATAAACTTGCAAAGTTCTAAACCACACACATGATAACCTATAAATTCGCTAAAAATAAATTATAATGAATAATATCCTTGCCGTATAACATAACAACAACACGTTCGATGACCACTTACTTATCCGCAAATAATGCACAGGGTTGAATACATAGCGGAAGGTCAATAGTAATACAAAGGAGGTATTGATTCGGTAGCAACAAGCTTTCCACTGTCCCAGTGCATGGGGGAGGGGCAGTGGAAAACGATTAAAAATTATCGTTTAATTAATACATATTTAGATGTGAACACGTGTTATTCACTGGTATATAAAAATATACGGGGAGGTTCCCAGTCCAACAGTAGTTTGTACATATATAATAAAAAAACAAACCAGTTCTCTTCTTCACCACCATTTTGCCGTGCATGGAAAGTAGAGGGAAGGAGCTCATAATCTATATATATAATATATATATAGACAGTACAGAAACGGATGTGACCTCCAAAATATTTTATAAAAGTAAAAATAAATATGCAAAAGTATATGGAATGAGTGAATGTTATAAAAAACAAGAGGGGCTATATTAAAAGTATAGACACAATAAAAAGTTAAGTTGCTTCCACTGGTTGTGATCAACTTTAAAGTTTCTTTGAGAAGAATACATATTTATATATATTAAAAAAGTTTGCTTTAAGTTTTATAGTACATTACATATACACGAAGTAAATATAGTTCTTTCTCTTCTTATTTTATTATAACTATATTACAATGTTTTCCGAATCCTTGTTAATTTGTATATTATAAAAAATAATATAAAAACATTTATATCGATTAATACTTCAAGCCTTTTTAACACAAGTGCAAAGTAATCCACGCAAGCACAAGTGGCAAAAAAAACAATAAACTTCTGAGATTCCCTATTCTTCATAAAGGAAACCAACTAGAAAATATAAAAAGGGAAGTATACAGTATTATAAGCAATTAGGAAAATTTCAGAAAAACGTAAGTTATACAAAAAAGCAACAATAGTAAAGAAACATATACTTTAGATAAAAAAAGTTCAATAGACTGTGTAAAGTTACTAAAGAGTGCTTATATTATATAATAATAATAATTATATTATAAATAAGAAATTGTTAGTTCTACAGAGCAACTCAATATACATCCACCTGCGAAAACTTTTCCTGACGCAGACAAATAAAGTAATAGTTGTTTAGAGTAGGCGGAGTTGCTATACAAGCAGACGCTATCCAGTAGCAGAAGTAGTAAAAGACCACTAAAAACTACTGAGGAAAAAGTTACATGATAACAACTGGCCAGAAGCTTTTACTTTAACTTGTATTCGAACAGGATTCCTATAATAATAAAAAATAAAAAATCTCCCATGATCACTACTGGAAAAATAAACATAAACAAAATTTATTGAAGAAAATAAATTTTTATATGCAAGTATAAAATACAGTCAATAAAATTTAAAAACTAACCTCAAACCTGCTCTTATCAAATCTTCAACCTCGTGAGTTTGCGTGGCGGAAAACAAACCAGTCCTCCTTTGCTTCGGAAGAAGTGTAAGAATATCGGTTAAGGCTTCCTTAAAGCCGAGATCCAAAAGTCTTTAGACTTGAAGTAAGAATATAAAATTTAAAGATAATATATAAGTAATAGTAAACCTGTCAGCTTCATCTAAAATTAAAACTTCTAAAGTTTTCAAATTAACTTTAGTCACACGCCTAAAAAAAAAAGAACAACTTAACCCTAACCCTTAACACCCTTTTAAGAAATTAAATAACAATAAGCCTGAGCATCCCAATCAAAAAATCGTGGTAACAGAGGCACTATAACAAAAACTTTTACTCTCCCATTTTCACTAAAAACCAATTTACCAATAGGGAGCGCGGTTTTTACCCAGAAAGAATTTGAAAGTCATCAAACCAACAATCCTCTGTAGCTCCACTTAAAAAGATCAAAATCCACCCAAACAGACGTAAAAATTATACCATAACAAGCTAAAAAAAAGAACAAGCTTTCAATAAAACCTTTATGTTATGAAGACGTAGGTAACAATTTAATTACAAAAACAAAGGTAATTAAAAACAAAAGATGCGATAAATGCATAAGCTAATATAAAATCTAACTACTTTAAGAACTTTAAAAGTCTTCCAGGTGTTGCAACTAACAAATTTCCACCCGTTTCTTGGTAGTAATTAAGAGATAAACCAAAATCGGTTCCGCCGATAATTAAAAATTGACTAAAAAGCTCCGAAACTACTTTTAAGAACTCAAAAGACAATTTTGAGACCTAATTAACGTTATTGTTTTTTAAGCACAAAGAAGACTGTTTAAAAATTAAACCTGGACGGCCAACTCTCTAGTTGGTAAAATTATAAGCCCTCCAACATCGTTCTTTGCTAACTTGCCAGATTTCCGTAGCAATTCAAATAAAGGAACTATATATGCCAAAGTTTTTCCAGAACCTGTAACAGCTTCAACAACAACGTCCTGTTAATAATAATTATAGTAATTAAATAATTTGTAGTTAATAATAATTATAGTAATTAAATAATTTGTAAAAATCAAAAAACAGTATGTCATATTTATTTAGGGCTTTTTTACTTTGTAGGACAAAAACAAGGGAATAGTCGCAGCTTGTACTGGAGTCATTCCTTCAAATTTAAAAACATTTTTAATAATATGTAACGTTATCTCACTAAGTTGAGCTTCTAAAGACTCCCATGGTCTAACGTTCGGAATAAAATCAATAGCGCCCATTGTACCTATAATACTTACAATAAGAAGCTTAAATCTACTTACTTAACTCTGAAACTCAATTACATCTGTTCGTAGAAAAGAGTAAGCTAAAAAAGTTCAGCTAAACAAGTACCTAGTAAGTAGGTATAACAGTAAATCATGGGCACCAAGAAAAGGGAAATAATGCTCACTATATTATCTGTTCCTATTATCCAAACAACGAAACTGTTAAGGGACTCAACAATATGTCTTTAAATTATAACTGTTCTATTTTAATAGGAAAAATACAGATGAGATTTTTTAATCTTTTATTCTTCTTAAATAAACAAGGGTAACAAGTGATTTAACATATTTTTATTAGTAACGTGTACTTGAGAACTAGTAAATTACTGTTTATGGTACCCTCATCCAAACGGCTCTTAGAAAGCAATGTGCACATTTTCTCTTTTCTTTTTTTTCCACCAAGGGAGGTTGAAACCTTGTTCGTTGCTTAGAGGGCCCATCTGACCCGAGCTTGACTATTCCACCGTCTTAAACCAAAGAGGTTATAGCTTACCTTTAAGATGTATTAATTGAGCTCCAGTACTTATAATGACTGCAGTCTTTTATCAGCCCTGAAATCTGAGTGCTTTCTTCCTTATATATGATAGAGTTCATTATTAAGAAAATTTGGGCGAAATTTAGTAAGCGGTGCGTCAGCTAAGTTGCTCACGATTCATTCGAGTATTATGTTTAAGAGGCTTACCTTAATAAGTAATACGAAAAATACAATTAGCACTGATTCTAGGTCTTTTTAAAGTTATTTTGAGATCCTAAGGATGTTTTTCTCTAGTTTTAGCTCTTTGCTTGAAAATGGTAGTCCTGTTAAAACTGGAACTGGAAACCGGCTTTAGTATATGCTAATCCACTGTTCGAAAGCAGGATTCGCCCTTTCATAGACCTATGAAAAATATTTTCTCCAAGAAAAGGGGTCACTCGGAAGAATAAACATCGGATAGCGCAGTTGGTGCCTATTGCTTTGGGTGTAAGTACGTATAAGATAGATAGAGTTTGTAAAACTAACGATTGTCTCTCACTTGCAAGTTTACATTAAGATGCTGTGGGAGGAGATAACCGCTTAACAAAGGCTTACCTATCACTGCCAGCCTACGGGCCACTTGCTTCAGAGCCCAAAAAACATAGAAAGAACGGCTAGCTTATTTTCATATACAAATACAGCACTGAAATACTAGTCGTTTTTTGATTTATAGCTTCTTATAACCCTAATTCATTATTATATCTACCCCTAGCAAGGAAATTTTAAGGGTCAAATTAAATTGGGAGTGACTTAGCAGGTACACCTTTTAATTTAAGTTTTGTTTAAATATATTGGAGTTAGGTAGTTTTTTTAAGCAGTTACGTACGCCTAGTCTCTTTACAGCGTTACTTTACCTCTATGTTTCAACGCTTCATATTTTTTAAGCTTGCGTGTTACTAAAGAGATCTATCAAATTTTCTCATTTTTAATAATTATTGTATAGGAGAGTTTTTGATAAGTATAATGTTAAATAGTAAGATGTAGACCAAGAGGGGTCATGGAGGGACTTAATAAAGCATATAGAAAGGTAAGAGATATCAGTGTTCCAGTTTCTTGTGCTGTTCATACTCAATGAAGAATTGGTCAAGCAAGAATGTTGCTTAGGAGATATTCCGCTCAAGTGCTATTAAAATATATTGCAAAAAAGCAATGAAACCGCACTAGTTTAATTCAGTGTCTCCGCCAGTAGGTTTAAAACGATAAAAAAGTATACAAAAAGTATTCTACCTAATTTTGTATTTATAAAATATTTACAACTTTTTAAAAATTTAGAGCTTTTTTTTAATTAATCGTTTCTCAATATTTTCTCATTCTTTAACACATCGGATTTAAACACATTATGTATTTTATTTAAACTATTTTTACAAGGCTGTCAGTAAATCACTGGATAAGTTTCAGAGCGATCAATGAAAGATCTAAACGATTCCAGCGCTGAATCAGATATATTAAGTTTGTATTGTAACCTTACATTATCAGAGAGAAGGGTTGCAGATAACAAAAAAGTAAACCTTACCTAAGACAATTTAACAGAAAGAGCGAGAAGGTTTAATATAATCTTTAAAAGCTTAGCTTTGCCACTGAAACAAAACATGCCAATTTTATACATTCGACCTACCTTATAACGAACTTAGGGGGACATACTATTTCTGTTCGTTATAACCGAGGTCAACAAATCCGAGATGGCCAAAAGACGGGAATGAACTTGCAAAATAATTTTGTTTTAATTGATTTTCCGGTCAAAAAATTCATTCAAAATAAGTTTTTAAAAATACACTGTAACCAACCATCCTTCTGAATTAGCCCAGTCTTTTTCTGCAGCAGTCATCTTAAAGTATTCTACGACTTTATTTTGTAGCAGTGGACACCGTTGTAATAAAGCTTGGTCTACTTTACCCAGCTCCGGTCAGTCCTATTCGCTTTCGTAATGTTTTCCTTATAAACTTTCTTAATTTTTCTTTTTTGCTTATGAAAGTAATGTAGCTTTAGCTAAATTAAAACTTTTTTACACACAACCACTTGGTTCACTCAGGAATATAACTCGTTTAAAATTTTGATCCTTTTGTCAAAAGAATGTTTTCGTTATATATTTCAAACGACTGAACAAAAAATAATCCTCTTAATTTGCAGAAACCGTTGCAATTATTGAAAGAAAACAGTATGAAAAATATGTTGTAATGTCTGACATCGATTTCAATCGGTTTTGATAAAAACGAGATTTTTTACTTAAGGCAACGCAACAAAGTAGCTCCGCTTTAACTAAAGGTTCGTTTTAAGTGAGCTCATTACAGGCGAAAACGACTGTATAATTTCCTGGATCTCCTACGCGTAGCCTACTGGATTAGACTATAACTCCGCTCCTCTTCGAGTAATTGCGACCTCGGGTTCAAACTTCTAAACGTAATTTCCTCAAATCGTTAGATTGGAGATCTTTTTTTTTGGTAAATATTAGACTAAGAACATTTAATATTTTGCTTCTAGCACCTATTTAAGTAGTAAATAATAGTGGCTAACGCCCGGTCACCGATTTTAAATTTTATAAGGTAAACTTATCATACTGCATATAAAAGCAACTATTTATAAAAGTGGTCTAGTGGATATACCGGCAAAAAGGTCATCATTTTAATTATATTTAAAACTATTTGCTAACCTAAGGGGCGCTCTGCTCTAAGCAAAACAACTAACAAGAGATCAGCTCTAGCTCTTATTACTCTACATATTTAATTATGTGCACGTAAGACTCAGAACTACGATAAATAAAGCTGGAAATAAAAGCGATTGCGCACGAAAGGCAAAAAGACTTATCCGGCGAGCTCTCTTTCCAGCATCACCCAAGACGCCTAGATGCATACTACTACAATTTTATATAAAAAAAGTACTAGGAAGAGGCCAGGTCTAATCTGCTTACCTTATAAACAGACTTTCAATGAAACAAACTTTGACCGAAATGTAAGGCATTTATAAATGAAGCTAAACACACGAGCCATATAAATGCCCAGTGGTTTTCACAATTACAGGACTAACTTTGAAGTTTAACAAGTTCTAAGCAAAAAAGGCCATATATATAAAAGGATATTTTATTCCCTTGTTCTTCTTTGTTTGATCAATAGACTGTGCTCAAGGTGGGTACAATAAAGAGAAGTAAAACTAGAAAAAGGATAGACAATAAAAGCGTAAAAAAGGGAAGAATGACAATGAAATATTAACCAACCAGTTAGGCTATACTAAAGACATGTAAATATACATATTTATTAAATGAATGTATGTTGCAGTTCTTTATTGTTGTTTATAGGCAGCGTTGTTGGATTTTCATGTTCAAAATGTTATTGCACCGTCAACTTAATAAACGAGGGTAATGTAACCCTTAAATCCGCAAACTGATAACCGACTAAATTTGCAAAAATTAAATAAGTTGACAGCAAGCGGCCTTATTCTAAATCAAGCCTTAAACTTCCTATTTTTCACGAAACAAAACTGTTAGCTCCCTTGTGACTAAATTAACGTTAATACTCTGGAGTGTGCGACCAAATAATGTAGAGGCCCAAACTTAATATAAGTGGTATATAAGGTTACGAAGGAAAGACTTAATATAGGTAAAGGCTTAGCAATGAAATGATAAAACGAGTAAATTTAAGTTTATATAATTTACGAGGGAGTAAAGCAAACTCATCTATTTTAATAGACGAATTAAGTTGTGTAGTGGTAAAAGTAACATCTAACTTTTTCTAAAACTCAACTTTAGTATGTCAAGCAACTCATATAGTGAGGCGACTTTAATATGAGGTTCCGGGTCAGAATTCTGCTCATTGTTTTGGGAAACAAGAACCTAATGAAAAAATACGTTAATTTAAAAATCCTGATGACCAATGCACTTAAAAATTCACGGCATCTTATAAAGAAGAAAAGAATCTGATAAGAAAGATTCAAATATACTTGCACACTTCGCATAAACACTTAGAAGATATGCCTTACAGTCAACCACCCCATCTGCAGGCCCCCTTGAATGTCTTTTACCGGTTCGTTTCCAATCCAAAGGATCTCTCTGGGATTTGCGTGCTCAAGATGGGCTGTAAGTATGGCTAGCACAATACAAAGAACGTGTTAAATTAAACACTTGTAAAATTCCAGTAAGTGAAAGAGGAGAAACCCTGGTTAAAAACTCTTTTATCGGGTTTACGTAAACCGAGGGAGCCACTCATTATCACCGTCGAAAAATATTTATTAACTTCTATTAAGATATATAGTAATTAATAAAGTTTATATTAATAATTTTTAAAGTTTATTTGATACTATACATATTAACATAATTTACAAAAAAACAAAAGCGTAAGTTGTAACTTAAATGCTTCAGTCTTTTCCTCATAGAGAGCTCAGTAGAATGTGCATTTCTAATTAATCCCATGGATATGTTTCGGGAATGTAAATAAACAAGAAGCTCTCTAGCCCCTAGGTCAAAAAGTTTTATAAGTGAAATATGGCAAACCGTGGATCGTACCTGGAGTTAGTTTTTCAGAATCGCGGGCAATGAAATGTATAACATTCTCTTTTAAAATTGATTCGGGGACGTTAAACTCTACGCTACCAAAAAAAAATTGTTTGTACAGTAAACAAAGAAGGTCTAATAGCTTTACTGCAAACACCTCGAAACGTGTTCAGCAAAACATCTAAGGTTTTTGATAAGGCAAGTTCCTTTTTTGAACAGAAATAGTTGTTTACAAGCTTAGATAAGTTGCGGTCTATATATTTATTATGTCACCAAGTATTAAAAATTTGACAATAAAAGTCTCTAATGGAATATACCGGTTAGAAGATGAGAATAACCTGGCATATGAGATATTAACGTTTTTAATTTTAACTTAACTCTTGATTGCTTTGTTACACCCTTAATTCTTTGAGATAATGTACCGTTCCAGTCAAAAAAAACAAAGGAGATGGAACTTAAACATTGAAGCACATCTTCCTTAGGTAACATAATACGTAAAAATCCTTTCGCCTGTAAAGGGAATTTACGCAATACAAACTTTGGAAAATCCCTCGTTCTTGTTAAGACAAAATATTATGTTTCTACAAAACTAATATTTAAACATTAAAACTAACACCCTGCAGATTTTTAAGGTTTACTACATAAAAGCCAGACCTTGTGACCTTGTAGGTGTGTAGGTTAGAAGCATTAACCCTTTGATGGCGCAGCCCCACATCGTATAGCTTTTTGAGACCTACAGTCAATTTGAATGGATGCAAGAACTAATAAATGGACGGTTAAAACGATTTTACATTTTTTTTGACTTGATTTAATTAAAAGTGAACGCCTAAAATTGGTGACAAAAGCAAAAAAAGTCATGCAGCTTTTCGATTTTAAACTCAAAATCGCTGAATGGCTTTTAGAAACTCAAGACGATGACAAAGTGGAGCAGCACCTTTCATACAAGAAAAAACCCAAAGGGATTGTTACTTTCGCCCACAACAACTCCTAGATACACCCCAACTTTACTAAACAACTACAGTGCAAGAACGAACAAATGACAACGCCTGTTACTGCTGAATACCGAGGTCAAGATCTCTGTGAGGTGCTCAAATCCCAAATGCAAGAAGAAAACTAAGTTTTAAATGAAATTTACAATAAAAATTTTTTGCATCACAGACCAACATAACTGTTTCTATGAGTTTTTTATATAAAAAATTATGTGGACAAAGACCTATATTGTCCACTTCAATAGGGATCTTTATTTTTTGCAAAAAAATGATAAATAAAAATATCAAATTTATTACTATACGTTCAAATGCCTATTTGCTTCTTATTTCTTTAAGTTCGGCTCTTAGAAGAATAGAGGGGATGGCATGCGCGCCATCCTCTATTTGTTTAAATTCCCTGAGTTGTACAACAATATTAATAATAATCCGACCGAAAATTTAAACCCTTCAGATGATAATTTTCAAAATGCTAGCGAGAGCTGTGCCAATAAAAGAACAGAACTTGTATCAAATTTGTACTACATTTAGTAGTACAAGTGGTTATAGTAGTAAAATAGTTTACAAAAGTAATAGTAGTAATAATAGTAGTAATAATAGTTTCCCCCCATCCTTATTCTTAGCTAATTTCATCTTTTCAATGACTTAATAAGCTATGCGAGTAGCCAGATTTTTATATAGGGGAAGCTCACTGGCGAAAACTTAAACCCGTCCGATCTAGAAGACAAATCCCCCAGAACTTAGTTCGTACTTCGGTGGGTGGCCAGGAGGCTAACCATACTGTGCTTCTCCCTAGAAATTATGAGCATTCATGATACTCCTCTTGGAGATGTACGAGCACCTAATTGCGCCCAAATCGACTAATTGGTTTGCGTTCGACTTACCGAGTACCCCAAAAATTATTAATAAAAAAAAATCTCTTTATAAAGTTATGGGCACTACACTTAGTCTGCATCTTGTCCTTGTTAATGAACTGATCACTCATAAGCACACATTTTATTAGTTAACGTACAAATGACCGAATTACCATTAAATTTTAGCGTCGTTTAGAGCGTGTGGAAATAACAGTAATTTTTGTATCAATTATTATGTTAATGGGCAAAATTAGTAATTTCACGATATTCTAAGCTAAATCATTTATATATAGCTATTTCCAATATAAATATCAAAGGGACTTGTGGTAACACGTCGATGAATACGTTTGCTTGAGGGATAGGCCTAGGCAATAGAGGCATAAACCATCAGCGGGCGCGTAACCGATTTGTATAGCATAGGCTTTTTTTTTTAAGAACAATTTGCTTTCCTGCATAGTAAGATATATAAGACTATAACTTGACTGGTTTTAAAAAGGACATAAGGAAGATGCGGAGTCCAGCTTAGTTTTGTCAACCATCACTCTGAGAAAAATTTAACTTCTTCCTTTGAGGAATGACAATTTGGTTTAGCGAAAGTTAGACCTCGGGAGAAGTAACCTTCTTGTTAAATATGTAAACAGGTGTGGCCTTCTTAGATAATGAGAAAACTTTTAATAAAATATGGCACGTTGGTTTAGTCTTCAAAGTGTTTATTGCCAGCTCTTCTTTTCACTTAACTTCGGTATTACACTCATACCTAACGGATAGCACCTTTACTGCTGGAGTATTTTCGTTGAAGTCCGCTGCAAGGTTTCTTCCCATCTCCTTTACTTTTTTTTATCCAAACGTCCTATATGCCACAATCGTCAAAATATAAACTCAGCCCAGTACGCTGATGGCACAGCCTTATATTATAGTTTAAAAATCTGCTAGGCTGGTGTCCAAAAACATACAGTCTTGTTTGACAGTACTTGAGACATGGTTTCCAACATAAAGGTTTATAATTAGTGCGTCGAAAAGTAGCTTTACGACTATGACAAGGAGGCTTCTCCCCAGGCCCTTAATCTCTCACTAAACCAAACAGGTTTACAATTAATGCCACGAAAAGTAGCTTATGATTATAACAAGGAGTTTACTTCCCCCAACCCCTAATCTCTCACTGAACCGAGCTGTCATTCCTCAAAGGAAGAAGTTAAATTTCTCGGGGTGATGCTTGACGAGAAAATAAGCTGGACTCCGCATCTTCCTTACATCCTTTTTAATACCAGACAAGCTATTGCCGTTTTATATTCCTTACTCTGCAGGAAAAGCAACTTGTGTTTAAAAAACAAGCTTGTGTTATACAAATCGGTTATGCGCCCGCTAATGGTTTATGACTCTAATGCCTGGGCTTATTGCGTAAGCAAGCATATTCATCAACTACAAATACTACTAACTCGCGTTCTGAGAATTATGATGGACGCCCTTCAGTTTGTGCGCAACAGCCAACTACATAGAGAATATGTAGAGCCTATTCAAACATATCTTTATAAAATTTCACGGTACTGCCTGTGGGCAACAAAATTACCGCAGTAAAAGTGGATTAATATATAAAAATAGTATTAAAAAATATTTATATTGTAATTGTAATAAGCAAAGTACATGAAACTTTTTCTAGAGAAAGTTAGAGATGTGCTAAAGTTGAAAACATAAGACAACAGTTATGCTGCGAAACGCGCAAAAAAAGGGGCAGCCTTCGATTTGAACTATGCAGTCTTTGTTTCGTTGGGTGAATCTGCGTTAAAAAGAAACGTGAATTTCAAAAAGTTTATTATTAAAAAAAATACCCGATATATTTTTTTCTTTGCTCAAATTCAGTAAGTGGAGTTGTTGCAGCATTAAACTGGTATAAAAAGGTAAATAAATAATGATTTATTGCTCTCGTACACGTTATAAATTGTTATTTTTTTAATTTCATAATTTATTTGTCTGATGCGATTTAGGAAAAAATATTTTTAGCAGAGATTTTTACTAAGACATTCTTGTTTTCACTATTACTAAAATTAACAAAGAGATTTTTATAAAAGCTACCGACCAAGTCCAAAGACGAAAGATTTAAGGTAGAAATAGAAATTTGAATTCTAAATTTTTTATACAATAAAATAGGAAAAATAATATGTTAGTTGTAAAAAGTCTTGAGAACCTTTTAATTAATATATTGTAGATGATGACGAATTACGTAATAAAAGTCTTACTTTCCAGAAAACTCTTTTAATGCTTATATATAGTTGAAGAGGAATCATCCAAACTAATTACTTGACTATTTACAGTTTTTTCAAAATAACTTTTAAAAGCTGACAATATGAGGTAATCTATGCATAAATCTTCAAAAACTAAAGTTCCAAATATTGAAAATGAAACAGATAGTCCCATCTCCGGTATAATGACTTAGATTTTATAGAAATTTCTACGTCACATTTTTTTCTTAATGTCACAAAAGCTAAGGAAACCGATTCTACCAATTTTAACTTAAAAAACTAGACATAGGTTAAGCAAGTATAATAAAGACCTATAATATTTCAAAACATTGTTAAATAGAATGAGGTCTCTTTTGTCAATTTTAAAAATTAAATGCCAGTTAAAAGATGTAAATAACTTATCAAGTAGAATATAATAAAGAAAAGTAAAATCGGTACCGAATATTAACTTCTAGAAGAGATAACTATGAGAAATATACTTATAAATATTGAATATTGAAGGTTATACAAAATAGTTTTTAGTTGCTTCTAGGTTTATGTTTTAAATTAAAAGTGAAGCTCTTTGGAGTAACAGAATAAGAAGTTTATTTGATTGGTCAAGGTAGGGTGGATAAATTATCTTGAGTTAAAAATGCTTCCTTGGTTTTTGTGAGAAATAGAAAGAAAAGTTTTATCCGTCTAATATGCACTACCTTCTACTGTAAACATAATAAGGGTATATCAAATAATTTAAATAAAAATTAGATCTCTTTAGAAACTTAACAAAAGCTTTGAATTTTTATATAATTATTTAGCATTTGTCGCAGCACGCCACTAAATTATATAAAACTGAATGTTCAAATATGAATGAGTTTT